CTTCTTCTTAAGAAAAAAAAAAAAAGGAAAGTGAAAATACCCCACCAAACCATAAACCAAACCCGTCAGCCTTCATAGAAACAAATCAGTACTCAGGTGACATTTTAATATTAGGTCTTTGCTATTTTCTTCTTACATTGTCAGTAGGAGTTTTGGCTTACCTTCTCTGCTTACTCCAGAGTCTGAGCTGCCACCTGTGGCCACCCAGGTTGTACTCAGTTTAGCAGCTGACAGACTTTAATCAACTTTCTACAATGATTTTTCCAGCAGCCTTCCCTGATCCACAAGATCAGGTTTGGCATTTAATCCCACTGGTAAAATATATCTAGATTTAATCTCTACAATGGCATTTTCCTTGTTGAATGCCATATTATTACTTTTAAGCTACTTCACAATTTTTCTGGCCAAAAGACCAGAATCTTTTTTTCCAAGATATTTACAAGAATAGTCCTTGAGGAAGGGTACTATGGTTGTTTATTTCCACATTGCTAGGTTTAGCTGATAGAAAACCACCTTCTGGATTTATAGACCTTGTTCTTTATTCTTTGAATAATTATTTTGCACACAAGAATAAATTTCAAAATAAAATGTGTGTGAAGGAAAAGGTAAGAAAAGGAATAGCCAACATCCTTACAATCTTTTGTCTTGAAAAGTCAACACATTGGATGCCTGAAGAGAAACATTTCAGGTGTGACTTCCTGGCTTTTCTTGGTCTTAGTACTCAAACATTGGCAAACACACTACAATTTTATTTCCTAATCTTTATTTTTGTCTTTATTTAACTGGCCTAGGCTCACAGAACAAGTTATAGTGAAATAGTATCATGCTGAGGAGTTTCAAGCTATTTCTGCACAGGTATAATCTTTCTTCACTGGAAAAGTTTTTACAAACTTCTATCAATCCAGAAGGTTTAATGCATTCCAGGGAATGCTGTTTTGCATTCAGTCCGTAGGACCAGACTACACACAATAGCAGTAAAATCCTTGAAACACATACAAGATAAACATCAAATGCTCAGCACCAACTGTTTCTCTTTACCTACCTACTACTGCATTGTACTACACGTTAACATACACATAGTCTCTGATTTCCAGAATGAAGAATTAGACCATGACTACCCTGAGCACCAGAGGTATAACTGCATGCATTCACTCCAAAAAAAGACTTACACATGAATAGATCAGAATTTTCAGTTCAGCTTATATTCCTCTTGGTTGAAGATTTGAAATGCTCAAAGCTGGAAATTCAACTGTCGGTACTACACAAAGATATGTTAGGCTATCAACCTTGTAAAGCAAATCATCTTCATATCCATAACTCAACCACCTCTACAAAACAGAGTAAAGACAGAATACGACTAAATGAGCAAGAGTACTGGAGAATTCCCACCTTTTCTTCCAGCAAGTAGCATGTACCTACTCGAGAATGAAATGGTGGGAAAGAGGAAAGGAGAGAACACCTCAGGCAGTAACGACAGACCTGCCTGGTCTTAAAGTACACGGCAGAAAGCGTCAAGAGTTCTGCATCTCAGCGCACAGATTTCAGCTTTGCTAGCATCCCTGTGTTCAGAGAAACCTCAAGGCAGGTGATCTTGATATTACAAGACTACTATATAACCTCCATACTAAACAACTGTTTTCTCTACTAAAACATGTTTTTTTGATTGTTTCCTGGATGCTTTTCTAGATTTTTTTTTTTTCTCTCAACACACCAAGTTAAAAAGCATGCATAAACAATATCAAACACAACAGGATCAATTATTTCAGTTTTTCAGTGTCTCTTAATGAGATCCTGAATGTCAACCACTACATTCATGGCAAGCATCAACCTAATACAAACGTTAAATAAATCTTCATATTCCTGCCAAGCACACTATTGCTTTTGGAAATAATGGTCTTTTTTCAATTTACCTCTCAGTACTTTATCTCTCCCTCTTCCTTCTTATTCCTTCCAAATACCCAAACTCCCCTTACCACTCAAGTTCTATTCCACTTACGTCTGAATCACACCACCTAAAATACATATTTATTCCCTTATACCTCTACTAATATTTACTCATCTGAACAAACTACAGCTTATTATTCTACAGTACTGCATGGATAATGCTCTGCAGAAGAACAAACTCAGCATAACCACTCCTTCTGACTTTGAAATCTGTGAAAGTTCATAATAAACTTTCCTTTCTGTTCTGTTGTTTTTATTAATACTACTAGTCAACTTTTTTTTCCTCTCCCACTAAGACTTTACAATTTTTAGCTGTCCAGTTCTATTTAGATTTTAAATAACGTGTTGAAATGTGAGAAAGAGGGAAAGTTGGGAGATGCAAGATGATAGCAACATGATCTGATTTTCAAAATTACTAGCAATATTAACGTCATCAATACTGATTCCGATTACCTCAAAATACAAAATAGTTATTTGGAGATAAACGAACATAAAATGCCATTCGTAGACTAATGAGCTTCATTGGGAAGCATCAGAACACGAGTAGCATATAAACAGCATGATTGCAAAAAGAATCAAAACGCCAAACCAAGGTCTAAAAAAACCCATGTTGTGCCTGCGTATTTTAATCTTCTAGCATTATTGCAAACACTTCCAGTAGTCTGCTTAGCACACACAAAAAAGAAAAACTGAAATATGACCTGTTCAGGCTTAGATAACAACGACGTCTCAAATATATTGAAACACTCGTACCACATCTGGTGAACCCAGTTCTTTCTTTCTGCAAGGATGATATTTTGACTATATGATACAGCAGAACATTTTGAGACTTTTTAAAATCAAATCTTGTTATGTTCTTAGTGCAACACAAAGTCTGTCTAATTATAATGTATATTAAAAAGAAATCTGCACTCTGTAAAATCTATTTTCCTAAATCTTCTCTTTCCTATTAGCTAATTAACAAACATCAGTTGAATCATTCTTCTATCATTCATAAGTCATGCTTAAATTATTTTCTTCTTCCTCCTGTTTCAAAATTAATGTAAAGTCCTCAGTTTGTCTTTCAGTTCAATTTTATAGAAGCATTTTGGAGCCACCCTGCAGATTGCAGAGATTTTTTTTTCTCACATATAACAGAAGCAAAATATGATGAAGTATGGGAATATATGTAAGCAACAAGTTACATAGAAGAGGTAGTAGCAAGTAGCCAAACAACAATAAAATAGAAAAATCTCTACTACAGTCCAAAATTATGTTTCAGAGCATAGCTATGAGCAAGAATCATCCCAAGAAAGTACACTCAGCTAAAGAGCAACTCCAAGTTTTCCATTCAGTGCAATTAAAAATCTCTGCTTTGAAATTACTTTTTTGTTTTAATTGTTAACATAGTATATCTGCATGTTTTATTATCTGCACTGTCCAGGTAATCAGGGCTGATGTATACAACTTTCAAGAAAAAATGCACAGCTTTCCTCCACTGAAGTACTACATTTTCTAAGACTGTAGGATATGCATTCTTGCTGTAAATAACTGCTATCAGTTAATTTACAGCTCTTAAGCAGTGAAGATAATGTTTATAACCGCACTCACGAGCAGGCATTTTGGAAGAAATCATCACTTGGTGTAAATCATTAGTCAACAGAGATACATCATTACAGGCTCTAAAGGCCCATACTTTCTTCTTTTCTCTATTTTTTTTTTCTCATTCTTTTTTTATCCCCCACCCCGAGGCTGTCGGGATGGTTGTTTTTACTCAAACTGTATGACAAATCAGGAAAAAATTAAAGTTGGCACTATTTCACAGCTAGTCTTGTTTACCGCTCCTCCCACTCACAACCATGTAGAACATACATGGTAATGAAAATTTTCCTGGTGCAAAAACAGTAACATAGGACAGTAAGAACAGAAAGGATTTTATAGCATTTTTTAAAGTGATTTAACAGCTAGAAGGAAGGAGAAACAACTAACATCATGGGACTAGCCTGCTCCCAGTGAACTACCAGGAAGCATTGCACAAACTACTGATAACTTCTAAACTAAAGTTAGGGGTGCATGAACTAAAACTTTATCTAGGACCTCCAGTTAACATCCTCAAGACCTAGGTAGAATAGTAGAATATTAAACAGTTTTGATCTTATCTTTACTTATTTAGACAGCTAATTCTGTGCACAGATTTGCGTATGGAGACTACTAACTTAACTATCATCCTCCCTATTTCCTCATAGATAAAGAACTTTCTCAGTTTAGCCTCAAGGCTACCTTGACTTCTGTGAGCAGTAACAGCTCCCAAGGGATTACTAGTAAAAGCTACAGTTTACTTGTAACTTTTTATTTGTTTTTTTTTTTACAGTGCATGAGGAGGTAGCAGGTAGCATATGGAACGCTAGACTAGCTTAACTTCACTGGGAGATCTCCCTTCACTAAGGGAATCCACATCCAGCTGTTTGAAGACAGCTCTCCATCTCTTTGCTGGCCGAGTGGGGCCAAGATCCCGCCTTTGTCCTCTAGTAAGTATGCACGCATGACAAGAAATTTCCTAAAACAGGGAACCTTTGTGCCAACTGAGACTCAAGGTTCAAAAATAATCTTGGAGGCATCTGCAGTTTGCCTTTCATTCTGCCTTCAGTTAAATAAAAGCTAAATAAAGTCATCAGTAAAGTACAGTCTCTGCAAAAGCTCACAGTAACTGGAATTTAAAGGAAAGAATAAGAATCAATAGTGATTGAGAATAGTGAAGTATTTACAGAATTTTTTACTCAGTAAACAATCGCAAACATTAATTTATACCTATAAATAACCATAGGTTAAAAGAAGATGTTAGTACTGCTATTATTTCAACATATAAGAAATTAATCGCAAAAAAGATAGAAGATCAGTAAGGGAGTTTAATTAGAATTTAACAGCTAATGACTTAAATCTTTGCCTCTTATTTTGGCAAGTATAAAGTATCTCGGTTGGTATAGCCTAATCTCTACACGAACAGTAATTATTTACTTTTTGCCACTTATGATTCATAGACAATCCTCAAGTAACCATAAAAACTAAGATACACTTACCCTTGTGTGGGTGCGAATGTGCATCTTCAATCCATCGTTCTTGCTAAAAGCTTTGTCACAGTAAGGACACTGGTAAGGACGCTCACCTGAAAACAAGAAAAGCATTAGAATCCATAAATATGGCCTCAGTATAGGAAGACCTCACAGCACGGTTATTTGTCAAACAGAAGTACTTTTTTTCCTGAACTTTTCTTCACACTTGGTTCAAAAAACAAGAGAACTAAGCATTAGGAAAATTACAACCAAAAGTTCACCAGAGCAGGATACAGGCCTAGATCAAAATATTACTCTTCGCTGCTTGGTTTTGTTCTAGCAACATATCACATAGAGTGTCTTGAGGGGGGGAAGAAAAAAAAAAAAGCAAAAAACCAAAAACAAAACAAAAAAACACCAAACAACAAAAAAAAACTTCCCTTGCCCAAATCATGTTCTACAGTGATTTACACATGCCCATTTTTATGGTTAAGCATTAACTGCTCCCAAAATATTTCTGCTATTTCACATCTAGTCATTTTTTAGAGCCTTCTGAGTGTCAGAATCCCAATGAAATATAAAAATCTACTCTTCTTTAAGTAGAACTAACTGTTGGGAGCTAGTTAATCAAGATTTTCCTCAATTTTTGTGTCACAATTTATGATTGAAATGGAAGCAGAAGGGTCTTAGCAACTCCCTTGCAGCATCCCATATCTTAAAGGTATTTAGTTTAATGCTCCATTAAACTGATATCATTTAGCATCCATTTTCCGAAACTCACATTACGCTAATACGGATACTAAGCTATTCAGAATCAGAGCGAAGAGTTTCTAAGCTAACTCCACAATTCAGAAGTGATAAAGCTTAGTAATTCCTCAAGAGCATTTTAATTTTTAACTCTTTAGGCAACGCACTGGAATTTGAGTCGATTGTCTCCTTTCTGTAGACAACGCTTTAGGAGCAAGTATCAGGTTGTTCCTAGTACAAAAATATAGTTCAATGAATTAAGACACAACAACTGTTTTTCTATTAACAAAACGAAATTGTTTCTATGCTGAAGGTGTAACAAACATTTATTTGAAAATACAAATTATGCAGAGTCTATTCTAAGTCAATGCGCAGCTTTCTGCTCATGAAAGATCTTTGCATGTACAGATTTAACATAGTCCAAACGTCAAAAGCTTATTAACGCTCACACACAGTCCTGGAAAATACGTAAGATTAACTACAGTCTTCAATTAAAAAACAAACAGGCAAACAAAACCCAAAACCAAACAGACATATTTCACTGATACGCCAAAGATCAGAGTGTAAGAGGGTGGTGGTAACACAGATAAGCACTTAAAGCTCCACGGTCCCTAATGACAGGGATGCTCATTTTGATTTAGAAAAAGGAAGCCTCATCTGTCTTCTCTTTTCTCCACATGAGGTGCTCCTCCATGATTGCTCAGAGGGACGATACGGGATGTTTTCTTTCTTGGGAACAAGACGTCAAAGTATCACAAAAAGCATGTAACGGAGACAGATTACAGAAGCAGCTCTTCTGTGATACAGTGCAGTTGATCAACTGATGTACATAATCTCCATATAGTGACAGGTTGTGTAGAGATCTGAGAGCAGTTGAGATTAGATGATTATTTAAGTAAGAGGATTAAAAAACCCTCTGTAGTCAATATTCTGTTCTTTTTTGTCATTTAGTACGGTTCAGATAACTCTGTTTATGACAGCAGCAAAAAGCTGTGTGCACAGTACTTGTGAAATACAAATATATTTCTCTCTTGTATTCTGCCATCGCTCAGAAAGCACAATTATGTGAACTTCAGGGGGTTTCGTTTTAGGATGATGACAACAATGACACTGTTAGAGCTGTGTTTTCATTGAGCAGTTTGAAATACAATACTCTCGCTCATGACCCTCAATGTCTTTAATCCATGCGTCTGAAATTCAAACACTCCGACAGTTGTCAGTACACAAGTACTTAATTCAGCCAACATTTTTATCTTTTCGGGCTTCTGAATGTAGAAGTTAAAGCTTTCAGCAGTTTGTAAGCAGATGAGCATTGACAGGTAGGAGTTGTACCCCTCCTCCGTCTCTCCCCCCACCCCCAAGTCTCTTCAAAGAGAAAGACTTTTCCTTTCAAAGAATGGTTTTGAGTATGTCTGAGATGGATTAACAGTGTTCTTCGGAAATTAACCATGGAGACAACGCTACTTGATGAGAAAGGCCCTAACAGCTTTCATCAGATGCCAGTAGAGGGCAACAGTATGACTTCATATCAACATGTTACACCTGAAAAAGGCTGGCTTCAAGCAGCTGTTACATACTGCAAAGTGTCAGAACTCTCCACTGTTCCAAAAAACGAGTTTACCATGTAACACAGACTGCAAGCTCTGACTTGACACTGATGCTTCGTCACATCCTATGTTTCTAAATTATACAAACAACTTCTCGTGAACTTGTGTCGTTAATAATTGTAAAATAACTTAAATGATACCCCAACTAATTTTTGTGTTCCTCTTACTTTTTATGTTATTTTCTTTGGCGTAATCTTTGTAGGCTGTATGCCCAAAACACATACAACTGCTCTTGCACTTACATAAGCAACTCTGTCCCCAGTCCTCACACATCTTTTAAATGTGTAACTTTCCTTCTACCTCAAAGAGTTTTAGGATTTTACAAAATTAACTGTGGGCCACTTAAAACAAATCTCTGCTTGCGACAGCCATTATTCAAAGACATTATTCTTAGAATAAATGTCTTAGTCTCTCTGTGAGCAGTCCAAAGACAAGTTTCTGTCCCTGTGTAAGAAATATATGGATATATATGGATATTTATAATTGGTTTTAGTAAAAATAACTTGTATTTTAAAATTATTTGATCTGTAAACAAGCGTAAGATTCCTCTCATTTGACATCAGCCCTGTGAAAATATAATGTCTAATTTTAACTAGTTGTTCTGAATCCCAGTGAAATTAAGGATAGAACAAAGTTAGGATGAATTGCTCTTTGGAAATGGCCTAACTCTGTTGCCTGCCTGAGAACTGAATGAACTGTCCTCAGTCAATGCATCTTTTTCTCTAGTTACTGTATCAGGAGCCTAGAAAACTAATTCAGATTAGATGCCTGAACTTAAGGACAGCAGATTTTGGCAAGATTATTACAATCCTACTTACTAATTCTCTATCTCCGGTAAAAATTAACTTCTCTCCTTGCTTCAGAACTAGTCTAAACAAATATTGTTCATGCTACCAGTCAGTTGCCCTTCAGGATGATCCCAGTAACAGATTCATCAATGACACTACTGGGGAAGCAGTCAGTCCCCAAGACAAGTCTTACACAGTCTATCTGTAGCAGAAACAGGAGTAGCGGATCCTTTCTTTAATACTGTGAGATGTAAATGGCATAAGACGACAATAGAGAAAAAACAGATTTGAAGTAATGAATGCTAACTATATTCCTCCCACACATAAAGGTTTGCTGAAGTGCACTGCTTCATACAGAACTATTGCAAGTGTCCACAAATGAGAGGGTTTTGCGCTTCAAAGATTAGGATTGTCGCTAAGAAAAACTGGAGACCAAGTGCGATGTGATAAAAGCCCCTGGGGTAGTGACATTACCCATAAGTGCTTTCATATTTGTCTGCAATCAAGCAAAGACCACTAAAAATCCATTGTAAGTATTGGAACATTAAACTTCAGATCAACTCACACACAATAAATACTTGGAGATTTCCAGATGTAAAACTTATCAGGTAAGAAAAGGAATGGATCTGTTAGGAGATTAAAAGTAAGAATGACTAAGACAAGCAAGTGAAATGATGTTGCAAGTCATGTACCTTCATCTATTTCTCTTGTCCTCACAAAAAGGAGTTACTAATCATCAAAATAAAAGAAGGCCATTTCCCCTATGACAAATTGCAATTTCTTCTTCAGTTTACTGCTAGAAGCATGCTTACAAGACATGGTGTCAGTGCGTGACAACATCATACTAAGACAGGGTACACCTTAGGTGAAGTTGTTGACGCCATTTAATAGTTACGCCATTTGCACTCTACATCTTTAGAGAAATACATTTTTATAGATAAGTATAAATAAAATATAAAAACATCTTTGCATTTGAGGCAATGATAGATCCTTACCAGAGGTATCTATCATACTGAAGTAAATCAGCGCCTTTTTTTTTTTTTTTACTATACTGCCTTTTCAATACAGTGGATAGTAGAGTAAGTTTTCAAAGGTATTATTTCACAGAGTAAGGGTGGGTGGTTGTGGGTTTTTTTTTTTTAAATGTGCTTTATATTAAAAAAAAACCCCACAAAAAAACAAAACAAAAAAAAAAACCCAAAAAACAACCAAACATGGATAACACAGAGGAAAAAAAAAAATCTTTTCGCTTCCAAATACACTACCGAGCCTTAATCCTAACACTTCATGTTTCGAAAACATCTGAAAAAAGGCCTGACCTTTTTCCTTCTTGTTTGCAACTCTGCCATTGAACCACAACTGAGACTATGATCTGCACTTTTCACTAAAATATTTCACCAGGCTTTCTACTTCAGTACGGTATCAATACATCTTAAATACATCCTTATTTGACAGATTGTCCAGTCAACATGCCCAGAAGTAATGTTGTGAATGCAACAATAACCAAGAACAATTGCTATCGTTAAAATAGCAAAACATGCAAGTAAGACAGACTTAATAAATGCTATGTTTATCCTCAAGTTACAGCTGACTGTCATGTCCCTGCTGTCCGAGAGCACGCTGCTCAACACATTAATGGCACTTCTGCACAAATAACCCCAAATAAATAATCCTTGGATAAATTGCAGTGGATTTAATATAATTCAAAGTCTAGACATTCTACTTCCAGATTTTGTATGAACAAAACCAAAGCTTTTAACATAATAAAAATAAATTTAACCTTAATACAAGGATTACAAAAAACAATTCCATGATTGAAAACCATACGGGATTTTGATCTGAAAACATGTCACGATAGAATTTTTTTTTTTTTTTTTGCTCACATGTGTACATCTCTAGGTTAAGATCACAATACCTACTGGACCTTAACGTATCATAAGAAGTTAAACATCAGATTCTTCCATTTCAGTT